GCCGCAGAGCAGCGGCTCCAAGTGCGGGGTGACCGACCAGAGCTACCCCCTGGCCGCAGAGGGGCAGCAAGCGCACGTGAGCCAGACAGGTACTGGGACTTGACTCCCTGCGCCTTCTCTCCCACTTAACTTCTTTAGAAGCCTCGGGCACCTCCTCAAGAGCCTGGTGCAGGGAGACCCTGAGGAGGGGTTTTCAAAAGAGCCTTCCTTTTGGCGCCTTTGAAAATGTCACCCTCTATTTCAGAGCACGTCCTGCAGGCGGGGATGGAAAATGTTTTGTACTCCTTTCCCACATCGTCAATATTTCTCTCAGTAATCTCTAGCTGCACTGAAGGCAGCAGGTTGCACTAGAAAAGGACAGAAGTGTAGACAGTGAAAAATCCCAGCCATGCTCCTGGACACAAGTATAGTAGCACAGAGAGGGGAAGTTTCCTTGCATGACTGCCCAGAAGGAGCCTATGAATGGAAGAGTTTAATCATCTGACTGGAGCAGCACGTGGGAAGAGGGAGGGGAGCGGAGTGGAGGTGAAAGTCAGACAAGGACACAGTGTCCTACTAGGATAAGAGGTGGTACAGTTGCATGGGCCCAATAGCAATCAGGTTGCCTGTCAGTAGCCCGGAGCCCTGCACTCTGCTTTCCAAGTGGAGCTCAATGATTTCATTCAGACTTCTGAGTGGCCCTTTCATTTGCAAGGACTCACTCATCATACACCCTTGGCCAAGGTTGCTCTTAAGGATTCACTGCATTAGCACAAGTGTCTTAGTGGGCAAAATGCAGGTGTGCAGTCACAAGCTTGGTGTTCCATTTTAAGGTCATTCTGCCTTTAGTAATAAAATAATGTAAAATATTTCTCTGCCTTAGATGCAAATTTTGTTGGTTACTGTATTTTGTCCAAGTTTCTTCATATAATAATTTACAGCAATACATTTCTGAACAGGTTATTAATATGCAATTTTTTTCTTTTTTTCTTTTTTCTTTTTTAATATAGAAACTGGAAGCACGCGGAAAAAAAGATTTGTGTCCAGCCCTCGCTATGTGGAAACCATGCTTGTAGCCGACCAGTCCATGGCAGAGTTCCATGGCAGTGGATTGAAACACTATCTCCTAACTTTGTTGTCTGTGGCAGCCAAATTATACAAGCATCCCAGTATCCGAAACTCTATTAGTCTGGTATTGGTAAAAATTCTGGTCATCTATGATGAGCAGAAAGGACCTGATGTTTCTTCTAATGCTGCCCTTACCTTACGGAACTTCTGCAGTTGGCAAAAGCAGCACAATCCACCCAGTGACCGCCAGGCAGAGCACTATGACACAGCAATCCTCTTTACCAGACAGGTAAGAGAAAAGAGAGGGAAAGTTTTGGTCTTCTTACTAACATTTTTAACTGCTGTCTTCAGAAAAATTACATTTTGATTCAGTTGTCTAACGTTATTGACTCAAAACAGGCAGGATAGTAATTAGCCACCTTTTTATGATATTCTGTTATTTTAGATGTACTTTGTGTGCAGAATATTGTAGTCTGAATATACGTACTACTTAGGCCAGGTCTGCACTGTGGGGAAAAGGTTGCCTTAAGGTACACAACTCCAGCTACATAAATAACATAGCTGGAGTCAACGTACCTTGAGCCAAGCTTGGTGCTGTCTCCGCAGCAGAAGCAGAAGATCGACAGGCGAAATGCCGTTGACTTCCCTTACTCCTTGCAACAACGAAGAGTGCCAGTGCTGACGGGCGCACCCTCAGCATTCAATTTAGCGGGTCTTTACTAGACACACTAAATCAAACCTCAGAAGATTGATTGTCAGAGTGTCAATCCTCGCTTTAGCAAGATTTAGCATAGAAATTATAGGTTATTTATAAATACAAGCCTTTTGCATGTGCCAAAGGAGAATTTTGTCATAATTGCTCCTGAAATTATGAATCATTATGCTCTTTCCATAAGTAAAGGCAAACTGCCAAGATTAAATGCGACTTGCCAAAGTTAAGTCTTTGACCCAGTTAAATGAAACTGCCTTCTTTTTTAAAGGATCTTTGTGGTGCCAAGACATGTGATACTCTTGGGATGGCTGATGTGGGAACAATTTGTGATCCAAACCGCAGTTGCTCTATCATAGAAGATGATGGATTGCAAGCTGCCTTTACTACAGCCCATGAACTAGGTAATTCAACTTTGACATAAGTTTTGAATTCATTTAAAGTAGCCTGATAACATAAAGGAAATGTCTTGTTACATAATAGTCCAGATTTTGGGTCCATTCTCTGAGGTGTTGAATGCCCTAAATGTCTTATAAAGTCAGTCAGGAGGAGACAGTGGGATATGGCAAACTGTAGAATTGGCAAGATAGCTGTATGCCAGAGCTGTAGATTTGACTGAAATTGCAGAAACACCCTCTTTCTTAGGCAAAAATAAGGTGGCCTCTTTTTAAAATTTTGGAAATATTCATATAATTCCTCGAGTATCTAAAATAGTGTTTTAGTTCAAGGCTAACAAACATCCTAAAAATACTTTTTTCTTAGGTCATGTGTTTAACATGCCCCATGATGATGCAAAGCAGTGTGCTGATATTAATGGTGTAAGCCAGGATTCCCATATGATGGCGTCTATGCTTTCCAATCTGGATCGAAGCCAACCTTGGTCTCCATGCAGTGCCTACATGATTACAACATTTTTGGATAATGGTCATGGTAAGTTTTATTAAGCTTTCTATTTGAGTTTATACACTTACATTTAGATACCCCTTAAACTCCATCATTGCTTCCTAGTTTAAAAAAACATTAAAAATGAAACAGTCCCCTTCTTACAACACTTTCTGTTAGAGAACTCCAGTACAAGGTTATGCTCTCACTTTGCTCTCACATTTAAGGAAGCCTTTAACTGGTTCACCCAGTTGTTGGTATAATGAAGGCTGAACAATTATTTGAACAAAAAAGCTAAGTGCAACTGAACAGGTAAAATAACATTTTCCTCATTCAAACTAGCTAATTGATTACTATTTTTCCCTCTAGGTGAGTGTTTACTGGACAAGCCCCACAAACCTATACAGCTTCCCTCTGATCTCCCCGGAACTCTGTATGATGCCAATAGACAGTGCCAGTTTACATTTGGAGATGAGTCCAAACATTGTCCGGACCCAGCTAGCACATGTACAACTTTGTGGTGTACAGGCACCTCTGGAGGATTGCTTGTTTGCCAAACTAAACATTTTCCTTGGGCAGATGGCACCACTTGTGGAGAGGGAAAATGGTGTGTGAATGGCAAGTGTGTAAACAAGACTGAGAAGAAGCATTATGATGTAAGTATTAATCTAGAAAATTCAATAACATTTCAGTGAGATACATAGTTTTGTTTTCTAATAGGGAATAAATTGAGGGTGATAGCTAATAAAACATAGAAGGAATCTTGTGCAAAATTTATTTAACGTTTTGGTGTGGTCATTAAATATATTTGATCTCTGTCATTTTAGACCCCTGTCCATGGAGGCTGGGGATCATGGGGACACTGGGGAGACTGCTCAAGGACATGTGGTGGTGGAGTGCAGTACTCCCTTAGAGAGTGTGATAACCCAGTCCCAAAGAATGGAGGAAAGTACTGTGAAGGCAAACGGGTGCAATACCGATCATGTAATATTGAGGACTGTCCAGATAATAACGGTAAGTTGGAGCTGATCTTTGACATGGAGGAAGGAATGCACAGGGCAGGAGAGATGATAGGGAGGGGAAAAGACAATTAAAGATGAAGGTCTAATGTCTACCTACTTTTTCTCCGCTCTGTATAGGCAAAACTTTCAGAGAAGAGCAATGTGAAACACACAATGACATTTCCAAATCTCCTTTTGGAAGTGGACCAGCAGTAGAATGGACACCCAAGTTTGCTGGAGTCTCTCCAAAGGACAGATGCAAGCTTGTCTGCCGAGCAAAAGGCACTGGATATTTCTTTGTTCTGCAGCCAAAGGTGTGTTTTAAATGTGGTGTACATTGAATTTTAAGCAAGAATTCTTACCTTTTCTGATTTATTTTTAAGCGGTGTCAAAGGATGTGCAAACTAAAATATTTATTCATAAGCTTTTTAAAACCTCTAGAACAGATTTTCCCTTCCTGTAATGTAATCCCATCAATACTAACTAGTTTTAAGTATGCAGACATGTTTCTTTTAAACTTAGTCACAGGTTTTTAAACCCACATACACTCCTCAAATTTTATGACACTGGGATTTCTACAGAATATTGGGTTTCTATACTTTTTATTAAATGTTTCATAAGTCCTTCAGACTCAGGTTAAATATCAGCTCTTCATCTTGCATAATTCCTAAAAGGCTGACATCTTAAAATGACGAAAAGGAAATACTTTCTTGGTAAATACATGTTTAGACAGGAGATCTCATTATCATAGCATATTGGAAACTAATAGCTTAGCAAGATTCAGATAAGGAATAAATATATTTTCAAGACTAGCTTCTACAACTGTGTGCCTGGTAGGATACTGTTGAAAGGGCTACAGGGCTATCAGTCCTTATTCTTCATAGCCCAAGACTGTCCCCAACTGATCTTAGGAAGAATTGTCCTGCCTTTTATGAGCTTAAACAATTTAAAGTTCTTCCTTTGATACACACTGACACTAAATCAATTTTTCATCTTATCATGGTAAGTGAAATGAAGTTGCACTGCATACTTTAAATAAGTGTTAAGCCATCTTCAGAAAATGAAGGGGTAGGAGACATAATACTTCCATGTTTTACTTTTATTACCAGTGTTTGCAAATAAAATGTCCATATTCTAATCAAAGGCACTATTACATTTTTTTTAAAGGTTGTAGATGGCACCTCATGTAGCCCAGATTCCACTTCTGTCTGTGTTCAGGGACAATGTGTAAAGGCTGGCTGTGATCGTATGATAGGCTCCAACAAGAAATTTGACAAATGTGGTATCTGTGGAGGCAATGGATCTACCTGTAAGAAAGTGTCAGGCACACTCGTTAGTGCAAAGTGAGTTTATAAATACTGTTACTCTTTTTTAATGTGCAATAGTTAATATTTTGCAAAACAACCTTTCTGTTTAAAGACAAGTGTATGCTCCGTTTACTCTTAGAATTGAAAGTTGTCTTTTACAATCAGTTCATTAGTTATAAGTTTGAAGTAAAATCTCAATTAAATTAGGTGCATTATACAAGGGCCTCCTGTATAGTAGCGGTAATTTAGAATGTAATTCAACAAAGCATTTATGCACATGCTTGTGTCCTATTGAAATTAATCCGACTTGTGTATGTGCATAAGATAAAGCTTTAAATTTAGTGTTTTGCTGAATTGAAGCCTTAATCAGTGGAAGACTAAGGATTCAATATTTGCATTTTGTTCCCTATAGACCTGGTTATCATGATGTTATCACCATTCCCACTGGAGCAACCAACCTTGAAGTTAAGCAACGAAATAACAGGGGTTCACGTCATGATGGCAGTTTTCTTGCTATTAAAGCTGCTGATGGCACATATATCCTTAATGGTGACTACACCCTATCGACATTGGAACAAGATATTACTCATAAAGGCACTGTTTTGCGATACAGTGGCTCATCTGCAGCTTTGGAAAGAATTCGCAGCTTTAGCCCACTGAAGGAACCTTTAACTATCCAGGTTCTTACTGTGGGTGACTCACCTCAACCTAAAATCAAATATACCTATTTTGTGAAGAAACCACTACAGTCTGTGTCTGAGAGAGCTTCCAGCAAAAAAAAAGAATCTTTTAATGCCATCAAGGAGACAATCTTATCTGAATGGGTTATTGAAGAATGGGGAGAATGTTCAAAATCATGTGGGTCTGGCTGGCAAAGAAGATCTGTTGAATGCAGAGACCTTAATGGGCAGTCGGCCACAGACTGTGCAAAAGAACTCAAACCAAACGATCTCCGACCGTGTGCAGACATGCCCTGCCCACAGTGGCAACTGGGAGACTGGTCACCATGTTCTAAGACATGTGGGAAAGGATTCAAGAAGAGATTATTAAAATGTATGTCTCACGATGGCAGTATGTTGCCACAAGAAAGCTGCGACCCTTCAAAGAAACCTAAACATTTAATAGACTTTTGTAATGTTACAAAGTGCACTTAAACAATATCCAGTTGGAAAAGCTGAAGTTTTTTTTTTTTCAAACTGTGCACTGAAAACAAGAGAGCTAGTGGTAGTATGTATGTCTTGCATATTAAAATCATGGTGAGGACTCATTGAGAGGAGACAGTACACATTTTAGGGTAGTGTTGCATCATAAAAATATCCTGCAAAGTGCAGATTTGATAGTGACATTGGTTTGTTAGACTAACTTTTTCATCTTCAGTACATAAAGCCCTAAGGCATTATAATTTCCTGTTTAAGTCAGTTACAAGTTAAAGACAACATAAGCAGGGGCCAAATTGAGTTTAAGCAAGCATTTTAGATCCCTCTCCCACTTTAGATTTGTGTTGCGGTACTGTTCAAGTCCCCAGGTTTTTTATGTGGATGGCTTGGGAGGGGGAGGTACAAGGGAGAAGATAGCTTTTGTCTAAGCTTAAAATAATTGGTCAAGGCTTACCTACCTCACAAAAAACATAAAACAGGATTGGAAAAGGAGTGTCAACTACATTGCTCATGGCTGCTATTGTTTCAGAGATTAGTTTTATTTAAAAATAAAGCCATATTCTCCACAAGTGAGGAGTTAACAATATCAAGAACAATCATTCTAACTTAACTTAACCTGCAGACAACTAGAATGTTCTTTTTTTAAGCATTTTTGTATCTCCCCAATGTTTCTATCCATTTCTCTCATCCATGCCAATGTAGTTATTCTGACATGCATAACTTACAAAGTTGGAATAAGTGGCAATCTCCATAGAGCAGGTGTTTGGTGCCTCCTAACCAAACCACTGGTTTCTTTGGTTCCACCATACTGTCAACCAAAGTTATGGCAGTGAAGATTTGAACGCTGTCTCAATTTTAACTTTTACCATGTTCCAGTCAATACTAGCTTACTTATTTGTGTTATGCTAGAGACAGATCAAAGGAAAAAGAAATTCCCATTATGAATGGGAATCTCTAATATCTCACTTCTAATATTTTTATAGTGCTCAAATCACTTTTTTTAAGGTGGGAAAGACAAAGCTGAAGGATAGCAGGTCCATCCACAGCAGTACACTAGGAGTTGTATAATTAAAAGTTTGTGCCAGTCCATAGACTATGAGAGAATATGGCTTTCCATATGTATATATTAAAATATATTACTATAGATTATATGTACTTTATAAGTATTTTATATTTCTTTTCCTTCTGGGAAGGGGTATAGTTTGTAATAAATGTGCATAATGAACCTATTTATTTTTATACTTCCTGTGATCTTCTAAGTTATCGCTTTTTTAAAAGGACATCTATAACAAGGATAGAGTATTTATATGGTATATGTTACTAGAGCTAATAAATGAACACTATGAATTTTTGAAATTGAGTGGGTTTTTTATTTCTACTTTATTTTTACTCCAATGAAAGTACTTGAAATCTACAGCAACACTTTCAAAAGTGACCAAGGCATGCAGACGCCTAAGTTTAATAGGTACTTTTGAAAACTTTTCCCATAATGTCATCTGCAATGGTAAAAGAGTAATCTTGTGTCTTGTTCTTTAAATACCAACAAGGGGCACCACAATTAATTCTTTTTTAAGAGAAAAACATGGAATATGAGTTATTACTGACTTTTAATTGGGCTTACAGATGGGACAGAGCTTTTTCTGCTAGTTTGTGTTTGTAACAAACAAAATTTCAACAGAAATTTTATCTACAGTACTTTAAAATGCATTATTGGAAAAGATGCATTTAAGTTAATGATGATTAATGAAAGTCAGAGGTTCCCTTAAGCAAACTTCTTGAGGTATGCTAAACAGACTTTTTTAGTCAGAGACACTCTTTTAATGAGAGATACATAACTGCTCCAACATTTTTTTTGTCACATGCTCAATAATATTGAAATACAAATCAGAGTTTAAAGATCCAGAAACTGAATTTTGCTCCTTTGACTCAGTAATCCACTGAGCTCAAGAGAAAAACTATTTACTGAAGTCATTGGCAATTTTTGTCTTTATCTTTTAACGGAGCAGGAGTATGCTCAGTGTGAAAATTACAGGCCTCTTCCTGCTCTCTTAAATCTAGTTGAAGTTACATCTGTTAAGAGAAAATAAAATTTGGCACCATGTCCTTTTGAAATCGGTGCCCTGACAAATATTTGGCTTTCTGTGATGTGAAGCAGTAATTCTCTGTTACTCCACGGGTGATATTCTGTCCCTCTTAAAGTTAGTAATACCAGGATTTCACCCTTGTGTGACATTGGACATGTTCCTTACTATGCTAGTCATAGGATCTGAATTTGCACTAAATGTGACTGTTCTTAAAATATTTTATAGGGATGTTAGATATCGGATAATTGAGTAGTCGTGTAACTGCATGAAATCCTTGCAGTTACACGGCTATTTGATAGTCCCCATGGGTGGGACTGGCAGCCAGTGCACTTGTGGCCCTACTTTCAGGGTGTCCCCTGCCACCCTGCACTGCTGCTACTGTATGAGAGACAGCAGCATAGGGTGGCAGGGGGAGCTGGTCCACAAGGGAAGCCAGTTTAAAAACCAGCTCCCTGCACAGACCAGCTACTCTACATCCTGGAGTGGCAGCAGCCCCTCTCTGTTTGGGTTCCAAGCTCCCCATGGACAGAGGCTGCTCTGCAGAGTCAGTACTGGGGGGAACTAGCTTTTAAGCCAGCTCCCCCAAGCACCAGCTCCTGCTCCCCCCACCCCTTGCTGCCTCTGCTCCAGAGGCAACAAGAGGGGTGAGGAAAATGTGTAGTTGAGAAAATTAACTGATAACCCTAGGCTTTATCAGTTAATCGTATAGTTGACTACACGTAGATATCCTTAATATTTTATAGTGTTTATTTCTAACTGTATTTGTGGTTTCAATTCCATGGTCTTTCCATGAGAATTGTAGGACTAAATATTGTTTTAGTGTATCTTATTTTTATTAAATCATAACTTTAAAAATCACAGTTGATAGGTAAGAAATCAAATATATGACCGTTTGTCTTTTTAGCCATGTTTTAATTTTACACTGCACCTCTTCTCCCTATGAAATTTCCTAATACCAAGTGCACTTAGCTGAAGTGCTTAGTTATACTTGTACAGTTCATACTGTCAACTTGTGAACCTAGTAAGTTACAGTAATAAAATTCCAGAAATGTGCTGTTGCTAAGGACTTGGCTTTGGGCCCAAGAACTCTGGTTGGTAGTCAGTGCCTTACTTAATACTACGTGCATCAACCAAGAACAAATGTGCAGCATGGTGCTAACAAAAGTAAAGGAAACTGTTTCTCACAAGCATAGCTTTGCAATTAAAAGCATTCCATGGTGCTGACATCCTTTCCTTTTCCTCTCCCCAGTCCCAATAAAAGGTTTAAAAGTCATTTTTAGAGAGAGAAATTATATTTTATATACACTCTCTCATTCATGCTGAAGGGAGCTCAAGAAATTAAATGTAGCAGATTCCTATTCTTGCAAAAGGTTTCATCATACCTTTTATTTCTCTATTTCTAAAGTGCTTATGCCCATATTATGTGAGTGGTCTAGTGACTAGAATGGTCATTATCTTTAGCTAAGATGTAAATAAGGTGGTGATGGGGTAGGATTCTAAGCATATTTGTCCTATACTAAAATTAAATATACAAATGGCAATTTTTTGCAGTAATAAAACTAATGAAATAACATGTCATGATATAATAGGCTATTTCTTATATTGGTGCTAATGGCACAATAAACACAAACACATCCATGGAGAGGTCAGGTCATTACCAAAATTTGTAGCCCAGCTGACCAGAATTACATTTTTAAATTATAGTTTTCTAGTTAGAAAACAGTAGCAATGTTTTTCTTTTATCAGTTTATGAACTATTAATCAGTTGTACTAAAACCCTGGAATATGTCTTGTAAAATTACTTTTTTAAAGAAAATATGAGATTTGGTTAATGAAAGAGCCATGTACCCAATACTACAGTATAAAAACAGTTTTAAAAAAAAAAGGCTAGATCCACAAAAGGATGCCCTGCTATGATACACAGCAAGGGAAAATAAGCAAACAAGCAAAATAAGCTGAACATGATTTATCTGTGTGGCAGGTGAGATTGCAGAGCAATTAAATATATCCTGTGTAGTGAATCTTCCAATTTATAGCAACGGACTTGACTGCACAGTATTCCTTGTGAATGTGCTTTTTTATATATAGTAAGAGCCTCTAATCATAATTACTGACTTATTTAATACAAAATTAGGTATAGAAGTGGAGAGGTTGAATATCAGGGTTTTATTTAAAGGCCCTATTTTAGCATAGGAAAAAAGTGCTAAAAGGTATCTTAAAGCACATTTCTAGTACCTGATCCAAAGCTGCCATGTATCTCAAAGCAAAGTATCCTATTGTCTTCAGTGGGCTTCAGATCAGGCCTTTTGCAAACTTCAGATGATGGATGGTTTTACTAGTTTCCTCACCTGACAGCTTCAGAGTTAATCACCATAAATATTATAACCTTCATGGCCTTTCCCTCAAGCTTCATACCTGGCATTGTTCATTGGGCACAGAGGTATTGGCAGTTT